GTTTTTTTTATATATATATATATATATATATATATATATATATATATATATATATAGAGAGAGAGAGAGAGAGAGAGAAAGTTTAAACGATACCGGTGTAACTTTTACTAAGTGTTACACCGCTCAATAACTTTATACTAAATGTGAATTTTGAAAATTATTCTGTGATATCTTGCTTATTTAGTTTAATTTAACCTTTTATTATTACAAATTTTAATTAAGAGTTTTCACTATGAAATTTTTGGTGCCTTAAGATTTAATAAAAAAATTATTTAATCCAAACCTAATGAGAATGCAACCAAAAAAGGAGGAAGTAGTGCATAATTATTATTATTAATTAATTTATTTTTATATATTTTTAGTTATTAGAGGTTGGAATGTTGTAATTGTTTTTGTTTTTAGTTTTTTCACAAATGTTGAGAATCCTAAACCTGCCAAAAATGTTTAAATAATTTATAAAATAGGCTTAAATATGTTTTTAGTCCCTTAAATTTAAGATAAATTTGTTTTTTATCTCTCAAATTTAAAACTATTATTTTTAGTCCCTGTAATTTTAAAAAATCTTGTTTTAGTCCCTTAGGTCACCAATAACATATTTGAAAGTGACTAATTAAGACAGTTATGTAATATCAACCGGATTTAATGTGATATTTTCACTAATAGGGACATCAATAGGTAGATTTTATGCAATAATGTTTGATAAATTTCTTAAAAAAATTTGAATATAAGGACTAAAATAAGATTTTTTGAAGTTACAGGAACTAAAAACAACAATTTTAAATTTGAGGGACCAAAAACAGATTTACCCAAAATTTGAGAGACTAAAAACATATTTAAGCCTATAAAATATTATAGATAAAAATTATCCATAAACGATTTATGAATGAATTTATTAGAAATTTTTATGTAACTGTAACCAAATTCGTTTTTTTATATATTAAAATATAACTAATATCATATTCAATAATTTATGTAAAATACAGCACATATAATATAGGAAGTTTATATAATTTGTTATCATTATCTACACTAAATATATTTAATGACATTCAAATTTGTTCTGTAAAAAAACATTAGTCATAGCCTCTGAAAGTGATTTGGCAGCCAGTGCTACCTGTCATGCCTTTGTTTTACTGCCTTCAAACACTAATCGATTCCTACCCAACCAAATCTCCCAAATTAGAATGACGCAATTCTCAGAAGGAGCTGACACCTCACCCATTTTGGCAAACTGATACTTACCTCATGGTTTAAAAAAACATTAGTCATAGCCTCTGAAAGTGATTTGGCAGCCAGTGCTACCTGTCATGCCTTTGTTTTACTGCCTTCAAACACTAATCGATTCCTACCCAACCAAATCTCCCAAATTGTAGATAAAGATAATGCGCCTCCCAACTTAACTCCATGAATGACCCACATCTTAAAATCATCTATCTGATAAAATGTGTCACAACTTACAAACTGTAAAATTTGCCACACTTCTTGCACCTCATGACAGTCCTTGAAACAATGCATTATTGTCTCTTCCTGGCTGCCACATCGTCTACACTTATCATTTCCCATGATGTGCTGCTTAAATAGTAAAGAGAAGGTGAAAATAGAATCATGCCAAGCTACTCAGAAAAATAACTTGATATTCTCAAGTGCATAAATCTTCCAAATCTATAACCACTTGTCTTCACTTGATTGTTGTTCAAGTTCAAATGCAAGTCAATTATATCCACTTTTTATGAAATGCATACCTTCTCAACATTTACCATAAGCTAACTAATCCAACACATCAAATAACCATAATCAATTATAACTTTTGTTATAATTGATTATATTCCTTAGCTATATACCTATCTTCTCAACATTTATAATTGATTATGTAAATGCAATATTATGGTATTATTATGCAATAACCAAGTCATAATTAATTATGATTCTTAGTCCTCAACAAAATCAATTATATATATGTCTCAATAATTCTTATATATCCTTCAATAGTTGCACACATTAGACAACAACAAAAAAAGAGAGAGAGAGACTAGGAAAAAATGGAAATTATGTTATTACAAGTTGCTTTACCTATTCATTTAGGCCGATTTCATCACACAAATGAGATGAAAATAAATCATGAGTTCCGCTGCATTTTCATTGCATTTTATCGCTGATTTCATGCGAACCAAACACGCATGAATTTTGTTTACATCTCTTTTCACTGCATGGTTATTTTCATTGCATCACTTTCAACGCAACCAAAAAAGCTGTAAATAATTTTTTATAAAACATTATTAAATAAATATAATATCATTTTCCTAACATTCAAAGTACACATAAAAGTTCAAAAATAAATATAACATAATATTTAAGTTTAAATTTTAAGTTTTTATAAAATATAGTAACATCCATTAACACAAGTTTATGTCTAAAATAAAAAATAAAAATAAATCACCATATAAAAAAGTTAAATTGTAGTTGTAAAAAAATTAAATTGTACTATTTTATAAGAAAATATTAAAAATAATTGATAAAATAATTTATTTTAATTTATAATTTTTTAAATGTGTTTTTTTCTTCAAAATATTTTTAAAAAATTGAATTGAAACCGAATTTCTACACCAGTGTTAGACTGTTTCTTGACCGGATCAACTTTTGTTAGTTAACATACCAATCACAAGAACAATTCTTAAGCATATCGAACCAGAAAGTCTGTTCCATTTTTTTTTTATATAAAAAATACTTATAATTGATGAGAATAAAATAAAATAACTTATTCTTATATAATATTAAAAAAAATCCAAATTTTACATTGATTTCAAATTTAGAAATTAGATAATTAAATAATATATAAATGAAGAATAATTATTTTCTTACAATTCAATTTTATAAGATTAAGTTAAACTTAAATTCATTATTATAATATATAAAAATTTATATATCTTATTTTTTCTAAAAATTTCTCATCTACGTTTTCTATGTCACATTTAAGTTAGATGCTAACGTGATATGCGAAAATAAGATTAGAAATTTAAATAGTATCAGTACTCACACCGTTACCATTGACCAAAGTGTTTGTATAGCGAATGTTTGATCCAATTATTTTATTATATCTATATTTATTATAAAAATATATATATTTTGGTAATCATTCTTTTAGTCTCTATTTTTTAGTAAATTATTATATTTTTATAATATAAAAAAGATTATATTTTTTTAAATAATTATTTGTAATTTCTAATATTTGTTTATGTGTAACTATTAGTGACACGAAGTGTCTCAACCTCTCTACTTATATATAATTTAAATAGGACACAAAAAATCTACATATATTAACCACTACTAAGTAAATAATATCAATAAAAATACTCTTTTTTTATAAGAAAATTACTTTTTTCTAGTCATTATTAACCATTGTTAAATTAGAATTAACCATCTAATTCGACTGGTTGAACCGGAAATCATCCCGTCTATTTGTCTAAAAGAATTAAAAAATGATGTATAAAAAATTGGTTAAATATTGAATGAATTGATTCAAAATCAATAAAAATGGGATTGAACCCGTGTTTTTTCAAAAAAAAAATCTAAAATTTTTAAAAATATTTGTATGATAACTAAATAAATATATTTAACAGAAATTATAAATTAGAATAAATCATGTTATTTTTATTTTTAATAATTTTCAATTTAGTCATTTGTATTAATTAATAATTTTTGTATCATGATATTTTATATTATATTAGTTTAAGTTTTTTCTACTATAAATATAAAATTTTTAATATATATTTTTATATTTTATTAAAATTTAAAATTAAATATTATATTTAAATTTTTACATGTATTTTAAAATATAAAATATATAAAAATATTTTATTTGATTTTAATTTTATAAAATTATGATATTATGTTTATGTAATATTATTTTATGTATTAACCACAATTTAATCAGTAAACCTCAAGTCAGTATCTTGATTGATTAGAT